TGAAATAACAAAAAACTAAAGTGAAAGCAGTAATCATCACTTTATTAAAAAATAAGTCCCTCCTCAAATGGAAAACAGAAAAACAGAATTATATCTCACCAACATTTATAACCCTGGAGGAGCAAGAATCCCAACAAATGTGCCATAATTTGCCACAAATTTCTACTCTCACATTTCAACATTAATATATCAAGATTTCTGAAAACAAAACAGTAAAATTTAGCTCCTCCAGTTTAGGAAATACCAACTTAACTTCTAGTTTCCATTTTTTAAAATATGCTCTTTCTCAAGCTGTTGCTGCTATCGATGCATAACATACTGCTATTATTAGTCTTTTTATATAAATATAAATATATATATGTATATAATATCCCAATTTACTGTGTTGAGTTGGAATTGTACAGAAATGGACAGCCATATTGGTCTAGAAATGTTAATTTTTAAAATTTTTATTCCATTTGTACAGGGGTAACGCATTGTACTAAACATGTAAGGTCATATCTACGTGGGTTTGATTACAGAAACTAAAGACTACAAGAGCAAGAAGCAATTTAAATATGTTCAGGGACCATTTTCATCTTCAGAATTAAGGATTATTTTAATCTTACATCATTGCCTTTTCTCTTTTACTTTCCTTTTTAGTGTTATTTTAGGATTCCCTATTTTTAATGTTCATACAGAGATTTCATCAACTGAAATACCGAATAGTTTCTCTGGTGTGGAAAACTATAATAGTACACAGGATCCTAATGTGATAATTAGTAATATGAAATAGGAAGTAAAGGGCTAAAGATGTAGGGAAAATAGGAAGGGTGGGGGAAAGGTAATAAGGGAGAGGAAAAAAATATGAGAAACTGAAAAAATGGAAATAAAGTGTTTGTAAATGGGGAGGGGAGGAGGGCGGGTGAAGGGAGGGCAGGGACAAGGGGGAAAAATGACAATCAAGACCTATTATGTAAAGGTACAAGATCCAAATGATGAATCTAACTGTATTGTATACTTATATTGTACCAATAAACTCAATAAAAAGAAAAAAGAAATTTTTTTAAATATGCTCTTTCTCTTCCAAAATCTCTATGTATTTAAATTTTTAATCATATTATAATAGAAAGTAGTAAATTAGCTTAGGCAAAAATGGCTAGTAAACCTCCAAATTAAAATGAACATTTTTTCATTAGAATAATAAATAAATTCATTTTTTCATTGGGAAAGACAGCACAGTTCTGGGGATTATGAAAGATAACAAAATTAAATTCGAATTCTAGTTTATTTCACTATTATATAACTGATGAAAAACTTCTTCCAAAGACATGTAGAAACCACTTGAACTTTTTATTAGCTAACAAGCACAGTTTACCAGCTTTGTGTTTTTGTTTAAAACTAAACAAAGGGCCAGGGATTTGATCCTAGGTACCAAAAATACAAAAAACAAAATACTAACATGGTTAGATTGTGCCTAAGAAGACTATGAGAATTTAGTCTCAAAAACAACATGTAGATGATTAAATGATCTTTGTTGCCAAAATATGAATATTCGCATTATTAAAAATCCCTTAGGATTTCTTATTCTCTATAAGATAAAGAAAAAACTCTTTAAAAAGGTCTGACTCTTAAGTTTTTTTTGGTACCAGGGATTGAACTCAGGACCTTGTGCTTGCCAAGCAGGCAGTGGAACCACTGAGCTAAATCCCTGGCCTTGACTCTAATTTTTGAAGTCCCAACCCTTAACTGTCAAGATAAACCGAATGTCCTAAGATCCACTGGGCCTCCTTTGTCTCAAAGCTCTTCTTATGACTCTATGCCTAACTATGAAACCATCTGTCAGATACTAGGATATAACAAGCAAGACAGCTGTCTGTTCTCCCAAACTTCACATAGGGACATTATACTTTTATTGTACTATATAACTCTTTCTTCACAGAAATCACTGCTGCAGCTTTACATTTGTTTGTATAGTGAGTTTAGTTTCTTTTAACTTTCTCACAACAAGCTTTCTTTATGATGTATATCAATCACCATGTGAACCTCCTATGAACAGAACTGGACTCAGCATGCAAATACTTGTGAGTAAATGAATTCACATTAAAGCAATTAATTAAGTCTTTCTTAAAGTACAGTATATTCCCAAGACAACCTTATAAATTTATTACTTCTTGGGAAAAAAAAAAGTGATAGGCCTTATTTTCATTCTGCAACATAAATAACAATGCCTAAAAACTTCATGGTCAAACATATAACATCAAATATCACATGGTTTCTCTTATATAAGAAACCCAAAATAGATATAAAGGGCAAAATAAAAGATAATAGGAAACAGGCAGACACTCTTGCAAAAGGGAAGAAGACCAAGAGATGGAGGAGGGGGAGGAGTAGGGCAGGATAAAAAAATTCAGATGTGTTATGTACATATAATAACTCCCCACGATGAAGGTAATCATGTAATGCAAACATGCACAAATAAAAATTTTTAAAAATTTTAGATGACAGGCTGGGAATTTAGCTCAGTGGTTCCGCTGTCTGTCTCTCAAGTGCAAGGTTGTAAGTTCAATCCCCAGTATCAAAAATATCAAAAAAATTTTTAGAAGACTACATGGTAATTTTACAAATCTTTTTGATCAAATGCCCTCATTAGTCATCATCTACTTACATGTGCTATTCTAAATTTTGGTTATATTTCAAAAACACTTCCTGCCATTTAACCTCATTTCTAGAATACTGCCTATTACCAGAGCACCTGGATTTTAGGAACACAAATATGAAACTCACATACCAAACCAAACTGTTATGTAAATGAGAGAAACATGGTCAGTAGCATCTCTGGATGAGTTCAACTTTTACCATTGATATTGTTACTTGATTACAGTCTTTTTGAGCCCATGATAAACACACTGCAGATGAGAAAGAAATAGTTTTCCAACAGTCTTTACAAAAATTAATCTTTAAACACTACTACCAGTCACAGATTTTCTAGTTTGCCATCAATTTATGTATTTGATAATGGTAGACTTTGCCTTTTATGATAATTGTGTTGTGAAAATTTTTTTAGATTTTATAAACAAAAATTATGTATTGTTCATGAATTAGAACTAGAGTTCTTTGCTTTTGTCATTCTGAGCAACTGACATAAAATCTTACCTTCAGTTTCTTCATTTATTAAATCAAATAATGATTCCCACCTCCTACAATAGTTTTGAGATACCAACATGAAAATAGGCCTTACTCAAATATGCCCAGGCTCCCTCCTTGCTATATAGGAATTCTAATCAGATTCTGCATAGTAAAATAAGTATTAGTAAAAAATCACTCCATTTATGTCTTACTAAAACAGATTTTTCAAGTTTTCTTTAAATCTTATTAAATTAGGTCTCAAATAGTACATTTACTTATATATAGCTATATTTTAAAATAAAAGGTGCTAATTAATCAAAATGTTGCATAAGTAAAAGGTACACTTACCACTATCACAACTGCACAAACTAATCAAAAGCTAGTCACAGAAATACTTTCAGATTATATAACAACAACAACAACAACAAAAAGAAATCAAGGTCCTATCTATCTTTGGTCATAAATTATTAGAAATTCAAAAACACAAAAATGGGGAAAGCCAGGAAATGATAAATTGCCAAAAACTAGGTAATTTTTTACATTCACTTACAAGTCAGAGATCTGAAATTCAATGAATAACCAAAATGGAAAGGGTGTAAAACCAAAAGCAAAGCTATATAATTCAACTGAGAGCCAATAAAGTTCTCAGGCTATTTTTGTCTTTAAGGAAAAAATGCCCATTGCCCTGACAGAGTACAGATCAGGCAGGAAGTTCTGCTCTAAGAGAAGCCACCTGGAAGTCAGGTTTTGTCAAGCAAATTGAGAATTTTTTACCTTCCCCTTCTTAATTATAGAATTTTACAACAAACATTTTGTGTACACACACACACACACACACACACACACACACAATTTTCTTGATCATTCTGTCCTCACCAAATCCCCTTTCCCCAAAATCCTCATGTATTATGTCACATAGTAAGAGATGCAGACTGACAATTTTCTACCAGAACAAATGACAAATTAAAAAAGGAAGACCTCTCCTCTGTAAAGGTACACTAACTATTATAAGGGCAATAAATCTTGGTATTAAGTAATACTATAATAGACATTCCCTACAGGAGCTTCATGTATCAACAATAAAGTAACTATAGTAGTGTTAAATGTATATGCCAGAAGTGAACAATCCACATAAATGCTGGGAGATACAAATCTCAAAACAATTTGGGAACTCTTCTCCAGAAATGTCTTCCAAGTCAATGGTATATTTTATTCCACTAAATTCCACACATAAGATATATTGTTAAGCATGGGAATGCCTTACAGTATGCTTCTATGGAGCTCATTTTACAAGAAAATAAGATAATGAATCATAAATGATTCCACAGCGTTAAAAATTCACACACTGAGCACTTTTACAGAGGTTGTTACATTTCTGTGAGCCTTTCTCAAAACATGCTCATGAATGTTATGTGTATTTTTCAAATGGGGTCTATTTTGAAAAGCAAAATTCACCAGCAAAAAAGCACAAAACCCAAAAATAATACATGGCACTAACAGATTATAAAATAGTACATGAGGTGAAACAAGAAGGCAAAATGTTGCTTTGTTTAGTTTTAGCTGGGAGTTTTTGCATGAGGCAGATCAACTTTACCACTCTGCACATCTGTGAAAAAGTGTTTCACAAACACAAAAGTGTTTCAAGTACTGATTTACAAAATGCAAATAATTGTAGTGAATCTGCAAATACAGAAGCTAAAAACAGTGAGCAAGAAGTGTATGTCAAAAACTTCAGTGAAATCTCTGATTTAATTGCCACCAAAAGCTACAAATCTGATAAATCCTAATACTGTTCAATTATGATGCAAACTTAAAAGTTTAGGAAAAGAATGCTTCAACAAGTAAGCTTTCTGGAGCAAAAAGTTGGTATTTTTTAAAACATTACTTCCTACCTGATATATTCTAAAAGGGATATAACGAAATCCATTTTCTTCTGCAGGATATTCCATGAGTTTCCGATTGATGGCCCAAAATTGGTCAAATCTGTCTGAAATGATATAAAATTATTTATTATTAAAAAGGAATACTATAAAAAGACACGAAAGTTAAAAAAAAATCCTACCAGATATTTCTGAAAAGGCATCATCTACATAGTACTTTTTCTTTACCCTTTATGTGTGTGCGTGTGTGTGTGCATGTGCGTGTGTGCGTGCATATGTGTGTGGTAGTAGGGCTCATGCATGTTAGACAAACATTCTACCACTTAGCTACTACATATCCAGTCACTCCCCTCACCTTCTGTTCAAATTGAGTCTCACAAAATTGCCTGGGCTGGCCTTGAACTTGCCATCATCCTGCCTCAGCCTCCCAAGTATCTGGAATTATATGTGCATGCATTTTTTTCTTGGCCTTCTTTCTCCATAATTAACCATACAGCAAGATATAAAATTAACTTGTATGTATTATTCTTTTCCTCATCTATTCAAGTAGACAATTTTTCTTTTAAGAAAAATCCTAAACAGATGCATGACTACTTATGTTACCAAGGCAAATAACACCAGGGAGAAACAGATATCATTTGTTGGTTTGTTTGTTTGTACCAGAGATAGAACTCAGAACCTTGGGCTGGCAAGGCAGGTAGCAGAACCACTGAGCTAAATCCCTGGCCCTTCAGACAGCTATCTTGACTCTGGTTATTTTCCTCCTACACATAACCACTAAGGCATATATTTAAGTAACCTAAATGTTAGCCAGAACTTGTATAAAGAAACGAAGTTAAAATTCTCAACACTGCAAACGTTAAACACCAAAGATAAAAGTGTAGAAAAAGCTTTAACAGAAATGTAGAACTGGTACTGAAAAACTGTCAAATGTAACTTAATCTCAAATTAATCTCCTTTAAAATTTTTCCAGGTTCATTTTTTTAAAAATAGTGTACTAAGACATAATATGCATACCATAAATTTCATCCTCTTACCTGTCTACAATTCAGGATGTTTAAATATATTCACAGTTCAGGACATTTTATATAAGTGGAATCACATAATACGTGGTTTTAATTCATGCCTGGAAGCAAGCATTGCCTTGATTCTAAAACCAGAGAAGGATCCAACCAAAAAGGAAAATTACAGGCTAATCACCCTAGTGAACATAGATGTAAAATCCCCAATAAGATACTGGAAAACAGAATGCAACAAATCATCAAGGTTATACACCATGACCAAACTGGATTCATCCCAGGGATGCAGGGACGGTTCAACATATGTAAACCAATAAATGTAATACACTATGTTAACAAAACCAAGGACAAAAACTATCCTCTCAATAGATGCAGAAAAAACATCTAACAAGGTACAACACCCATTCTTTCAAAGTTCTATTTTTTTTTTTTTTTCATTTTTTGGTACCAGGGATGGAACTTGGGACCTTACACTCTTGTGCTTGAGAGGCAGGTGGTGGCACCACTGAGCTAAATCCCCAGCTTTCTGGCAACACCCATTCTTGATAAAAACCCTACAGAAAATTGGTATAGATGGTCTTCATCTCAATCTGATAAAAGCCATCGATGACAAACCAACAGCCAACATCATACTAAATGGAAAAAAAAAATGAAAGCTCTCATGTTACAATCAAGAACAAGACAAGGATGTCCACTGCCACCACTCTTATTCAATATAGTTGTGGAAACATTAGCCAGAGCAATTAGACAAGAGAAAGAAATAAAGGGAATAAAGATAGGAAAGGAAGAAGTTAAATTATCATTATTTGAAGATAACACAATACTCTACATAGACAACCCCCAAAACTCCACCAAAAGACATGTATGTATGTGTGTATGTATTTATTTTTTGGTACTGGGGATCAAACTCCGGCCCCTAAGCTTGCAAGGCAGGCAGTGGAACCATTGAACTAAATCCCCAGCCCAAGATTTTTATGTCTGATAAGCAAATTCAGTGGCGTAGTTGGATACAATGTCAACACTCAAAAGTCTTCCTATACACAAATAACAGGCTCACAGAGAGAAAAATTAGAGAAATAATCCCTTTCACAATAACATCCAAAAAAATGAAATACCTAGGAATCAATCTAACAAAGGAAATGAAAACTACAGTATTCTGAAAAAGATTGAAGAGGACATCAGAAAATGGAAAGCTATCCCTTGTTATTGGATAGGAAGAACCAATATGGTGAAAATGGCCATACTTTCAAAATTGTAATACAGGTTCAATGCAATTCTAATCAAAATCTCAACAGAATATCTAACAAAATTAGAAAAAATTCTAAAATTCACTTGGAACCAGGAAAGACCTAGAATAGAAAGACAATTCTGGGAAACAAAGGCAAGGCAGGGAGGGGGTATCACAATCTCTGACTTGAAATGATACTACAAAGCTACTGTGATAAAAACAGCACGGTACTGGCAAAAGAACAGACTTGAAATGAGTGGAACAGACTAGAAGATGCAGAAACAACTCCAGACATACCCACCTTATCTTTGACAAAGGAGTCAAACACCTTCACTAGAAGAAAGACAGCCTCTTTAATAAATGGAGCTGGAAAAGCTGGCTTTCCACATGCTGAAGATTAAAACTAGACCCTTATTTTCACCATGCACTAACCTAAAATTGAAATGGATCAAAGAAGTAAATATTAAAACAGAAATTACTGGAAGAGAAAATACTGGAAGAGAAAATAGGTAGAATGCTTGAGAACATAGGAATAGGAATAGGCAAAGACTTCATTAACAAAACCCAGACCTCACAGGATTTACTACAAAGAATCAACAACTGGAACCTCTTATTAAAAAGCTTTTGCACATCAAGAGAAACCACCAACAGAGTGAAGAGATAACCCACAGCATAGGAAAAAAATTTTAACAGCTATTCAGATAAAGGATGGTTATCTAGAATATATAAACTAAAAAAAAAAAAAACAAAAAAACAGACCCCCCCCCAAATAGAAAGACCCACTGCAAAAATGGGCATTGGAGGGTCAGGGATTTAGCTCAGTGGCACCATGCCTACCTCACAAGCACAAGGTCCTGAGTTCAATCCCCAGTACTAAACAAATAAATATTTAAAAGGAAGGATCTGAAAACAATTAGAAATAGCAAATAAATACATGAAAAAATGTTCAAAAGCACTGGTTATTTGAGAGATGCAAATTAAAACAATACTGAGATTCCATCTTACTCCAGGAAGAATGGCTGCTATTAAGAAATCAACCAATAACAAATGCTGGAGGCTCAGTGGGGAAAAAGGAACACTGCTCCACTGCTGGTGGGAAAGAAGACTGGTGCAACTACTGTGGAAATCAGTGTGGATATTTCTCAAAAAACTAAAACTATAGGTTCCATTTGACCCAGCTATACCTTTTCCTGGTATCTTCTCAAAAGAACTAAAAGCATCATACCACAGCGATATACGCACACCCATGTTTATAGCAGCACAGTTTATAACAGCTAAATCTTGGAAACAGCACAAATGCCTATCAATTGACAAGATGTTTTTACACAACGGAGTACTACTCTGTCATAAAGAAGGATGAGCTTCAGACATTTATAGCTAACTGGATGAACCCTGAGACCATATTCCTAAGTGAAATAAGTCAGACACATGTTTAAATACTGCATTGTGTCTCTGGTGTAAGAAACCTAAAGTGAAAATAAGGACTAAAATATGTAACAGATACTGGGAAATGGGAAGGAAATGTTCAAATGGGAAGGGGAACAAGGGAGGAGGGAGAGAGAAGGGAAGGAAGGGACAAGGAAAAAAGTGAATATAGAAGGAAAAAATGGAAACAAGGCTGGGGATTTAGCTCAGTGGTTCCACCGCCTGCCTCACAAGCACAATGACCTGAGTTCAATCCCCGGTACCAAAAAAAAAGGAAACAATGGAAACAAAGTATTTGTACAAAGGGCTTGAGGGGGGATGGGATACAATTAATTTGTTTTAAAATAAAATAAAGTAATAAAAGAGACGGATACAAAGTAAAAAATAATAGTATACGGTCTTTTACATTTGGGTTTTTTCCCTCACTTAGCATAATGGTTTGAAAGTTCATCCTTGTTGAAATAGGTATTAAAACATCATTTGATTTTACGACCATATAAGAATTCCACTTATGGAGTTATCAGATTTTTTATCAATCAGCTGATGAGCATGAATCATTTATACTTTTCTGGCTATTAGAAATAATGTTATCGAGAATATCAGTGCACAAATTTTTGTGTTGATGTTTTCAAGTTTCTTGTACCAACCTAGGAATGAAATTGCTGGGTCACAGGCAATCTTGTTTAACTATATAGTAGCTATGTTTTCAGATTTGCCAAAATATTTTCCAAAGTGACTGGACCACCTTTCATTCCCATCAGCATTGTGTGAGGTTCCAATCTGTCCAAAAATTTGCCAATTCTTACTATTTGTCATTTTGATTGTAGTCATCGTAAGAGGTCAGAAGTAGTACTTCAATATGTTTTGATTTGTACTTCCTTAATGACTAATTTTTGTGTTTACTGGCCATTTAAATAGATGGAAAAATGTCTACCAAATAATCATTAAATTCTTCTTGAATTGTAGGTGTTCTTTATGCATTGTGGATACAAGCACCTTATTTGATATGTGATTGCAAACATCTCTGCTTTTATATATAGTGTTTTCAAAGAACTTTTTACCTAACTCAGAATTGTAACTTGTAAGAAATTGTTTTATTCTCTAGTGTTCCATTTAGCTTGATGTTAGAGCACAACATACTCTACTACTACATTTGTCTCAATCCATTCTACTGGCAACCTAACAATACTGCTTAGACATCTGTAATGATACAGAAAACACATTTTTTTTTTTTTGCTGTTGTTTTTGTTGACAAGCATCTTGCTAACTTAAGGTCCTCCTGTGTCAGCCTCCCGAGTGCTGGGGTTATAGTCATGTGCCACCGTGCCCAGCTGAGACACTTTACTTATACCAGTATTATTCTATAATGACAGGCTTCAGGCCTTTCCTACTCCCATCTTCAACTCCAACCTGGGAGATTGCACATATTATATTA